AAGAGCGTGTGCTCCCGAGCAGGGCTCCCAGGCCTCCACCACTGACCTAGGCCAGGAGGAATGCACTTACACAGTGCCTGGAAAAGCCAGCACCTGTTAGGACACTGACATGAAAGTGCAGGAGAATCATTTTCCACCTGCTCTGCCAGCCCGGCGGGCACTAAAGCCCCCGGGAGGAACGCAGTGTTCTCGACCTCGGCACAGGGCAAACAGCAGCCCAGCGGGCACCAACGGTGAAGCCAAACGGAGTTGTCCAAAGCGGCAGCATGGCCACAGCTGGAGTCAGTGCTCAGGTGACAGAAACCAACACCAACACGGATGAGAAAGAACAAAGCTAGCCCAGCCTGATCTCTGATTCCTTTTGCTTCATCCTTTGCTTTATTCCAATCGCCTATTTCCCAGCATCGTTGAAGAGATGTCCATTCATTTGTTTAAAAATCTGTGTGACATCCTGTCCCTGACATTTTCCAGAATGAGGGACAATATTATGCCCTGGTGAAGTCAGGATAGGACAGGAAGCTGCAGGCAGTGCTGGGGGATGGTGTTAGTTCAGGAGAGAATGGAAGCTGTTCAGTCCTCTCATGATCTATCTTTGGACCATTTTATCACAGAGCATTAATTCAACAGGGAACAGCTGATGTGGCAAAGTGACCAGCAGTGGGGGATATCAGGGACCAGAGAGCTTTACTAGGAAGGATATTGGTTTCCCCGAGAGCTTCAGATGTCCCCCGAAACCTGGCAAGGCTGTACAACTGTGGCAGGTGTCCTTGTGTCCCCCTGCACCAGCGTAACCACCGCAGAAGCAGCTCACCTTGTGCTGAAAATAGAATACTGATTTGCAGAACAATCATCCTTGCGGGAAGCTTAAAGCTGTGAAAGGAAAGACTCTTCTCCAGGTTTGCAGCCATCCCATGGCATATGTTGCTGCCTTGGGATTTCACCAAGGGGAACTCGGCGATTTGAGATCACCTCACTCAGGCCTTCCCTCCCCTTTCCACCCAGAAAATTTGAAATGGAACAAAATCAGAAGAAGAAAGGGCTCAGTTTTGTCTTGGAACTTACTGAGCTGAGGCTCTGCAAAGTTCTCCTCGCTGAATGGCTCAGCCTTGCTCAGGCCTTCGGTGACACTCAGTGCTGTCCCTGCACAGTCATGGGCCTGTCCCCCCAGCTCTGCTGTCCTGAGGGCAGTGAGCTCCAGTCCCTGAGGGTTTGCCCGCTCTGCCTAGGAATGTGCTGCTGCGCGTGCGCGCAGAGGTGCTCGCAGGGCAGGCCACAGCACAGCTTTCGCTCTTGCTACTTGCATCCAGCCACCATACCTTCCAGCTTAGAAGACCTTTACCCAGCTCGTATTCTGCTCCCGAATTTACAAAGAAAAGATCTATCACTACAGAATCTAAATCAAGCCCAAAGTAGGTGAACTTTGGGCATGAGTAACTCGTGGTCAGCCAGCAGCTAAGGAACTCCTGCTTCCAGAGTAAGTGTCTGCAGCCCCTTCTGCCAGCACTGCTTTAAAGTGTGCTGGTCCTCAGCCCGCCTGGGCCCGGGGCTTGCCTCCCTGTTCTCCACTTCCTCCCTTCCTTCTCACATCGGAGGCTAAAGCACATAACTAATTGTCCCCATCTTCCACCAGAAAGAAATGATCATGAGAAAGCAAATACGAAAGAGAACAAAAGAGCAAGAAGAAAAGGGAAAGGAAAGGAAAGGAAAGGAAAGGAAAGGAAAGGAAAGGAAAGGAAAGGAAAGGAAAGGAAAGGAAAGGAAAGGAAAGGAAAGGGCAGATGTGATGATGGGAAAAGGGGAAAATATAAGAAAAGAGAACAGAAAAAGAAAATAGAGAAATCAGAGAAAGGAGAGAAAGGAAAAGAGAAAATGAGGAAAAGAAGGAAAGGAGAGGAAGGCAGGTACCTGCATAGGGCTGATCCAAGCTTGAGAAGGGAGAGTCCAGGCCTGGAGAGCTGGGCATGTCACACAGCCCGTTTAAGTCACAGCTCCCCATAAACAGAGAGAGGCAATGGGAGAAAAGCGAGCAGCTCCCTCTGGAGCAGAACCAAAACTCTAGAGTGGCCAGGCCCTTTGCTATCAGCTCCACGAGCCTTTTAAAGCCTCTCTTTTGTCTCATAGGCATTGCTGCCTAAAGCCATGAGGTCACTCTGTCTATTTTTATCTGCCTAGCTTCATCACGGCGCAGTGTGATGGACATTGTCACCTGGCACTCAAACACCCTCCTTCCTTCCCCCACCCTCCACTCTCTGGAAGCGGAACTCCTCTTTTATGCTTAAAAATGAGAAAATATGGCCTACATTCTCACTGCAGCTGTGGCACAAGCTTCAGCAAAGGATCTGTGTTTCCATACCTCAACATCCAGCATTTCCATGCTGAAGAACCCTTCAAACAGATGAGACAAACACAGCTCTCATGTCCCAGAACAGAGACACAGAGAAGCCTGCCCAGGAGGAAGGCAATTTTCCTTCTTAGAACCCAAGAGAGCTCCCAGCTCCAAATAAATACATGGAGAACAGTAGTGGGGAGAATCTGTGTCTTCCTTCCACACCTCAGGAGAACTAGTCCATGAAACGGAGTCCTCGACCAGGACTGAGGAACATTTAATAGAAGAGCAATAGCATCCTGGGTGCTGGCAGTGTAGCTATTTGGTTGAAAAGCAATGGCAGAAGCCACTGCTACAACCCTGCAGAGTGTGGCTGTGCCCACGGCGGGTGACTCAGGGTTTGGAGGTCGAGTGGCGCCGTTCAGAGCTCCGCGCTAGAGACTGGGAAGTGCTGGAAGACGAGATGCTGCCTGGGGAGGGCTTGGGCGGGCAGGGATGCGAGGAGCGGACGGTGCTGGGAAACTGCAAATCTCTGCAGCCAGGATCTGCTCCGCGCTTCCCTGCACCTTGGCTGGGCCCCATCCCGTTGCCTCATTCCCTGCAGGAGCAAACAGTGCTGGGAGGAGAACCCAGGCCTGTGGCTGAGTGATGCTGCACTGTGGTTCTCCCTGCACGACCGTCCCACCCTGGGTGTCACCGTCACATGGGACTCAAGCAGACTGTCCCCACTGCTAGTGGGTCTAGAAGCGTGGAGGTCTGACCGTGTCTCTCCCCTCCAAGGAGGACAACTGCTGCAGGCAGCATTGCTGTAAGAGACTTGTCATGCCTCATGCAGATGCTCTTAGAGCAAGAGGAGTGGATGTACCTCGTTCCTTCTTTGATTAATATTTATACTCATAGTGATACTAGCTCTTTGGAAAAACCTTATAGAATCTGATATCTGCCGTATGCAATTGGAAGCTAACAATTGTTCTGCTGTACAGAAACATTTATCTCTTAAGAGCATTCAAATGGAGTAGATAAAAGAGTAAACAGAAGAATAAAAGAGTTATAATATTCTCCTAAATTCTCCTGGTGTCATGGATAATTTCTACAGAAACCTCTTTGCTAACTTTTATAGCACTCAGTTTTTTTCCTCACTAAATTCTATTAAAATAATCAATGAGAAATAATATTTGGTATTAAGCAAAGATTTTTTATGTACTTTAAATTTCACTAAACTGAAATTAATTAAGCTACTAACCGCAGTAAAAAGAAACATAAGAAGTATCTTTTCAAGATCAGGATCTGTTAGAAGAAAGCATTGTAATGTATGCTCAGAAAAACTACAGGACAAGCAGGATTCCATAGTGTCAGAAACTCTTTGTGTTCACTAGGAAACAAACAACAGTAGATAACACTTCTGAAGACCAAATTCCAGCAAAGCCTTCACCATTGAAAATAAATGTACTACTAACATCAAAGATAAAGAATATATTCCTGTGTGATGAAATACTACTTGTCTGCTATTTTTTTATATGGGATCAACTAGAACTTTGTTTTTCAAGCTATTTACGTTAGACGAGGTCATTTTTCCATGGCTAGTGTTGCAAGTATCTCAGTAAGTCATTACAGGCTATAGGCTTCTCATGTCTTTCATATTTGGAACCCTTTCAAAATAAGATTTGAATAGGTTCTATTGGCCTTCCAAGTATTTCCCTGTTGTAAGCCAGCCTTTCAAGTTACAACCAGTGCTGGAATTGGAAACCATGAGGTAGAGTACATATTCTTTAACTTACAGTAACTGGCATAATTTGTGGGACAGAAAGCTTATTTTGCATTTTCGGGTGTTTTCACACTTTCATCATGTAGTCTGTATGTAATATAAAATATAGCTACTAATCTCAGCTCTGATTCAGCAGGCTACAAGCCCATGCTTTGGTCCTACTGAAGTCTGCAATACTTCAGCATGCATCTGAAGTTAAAAATATATTTAGGTGCTTTGTGAAATGTCAAATTTTTCCTAAATGACTAGTGATTTTAAGAACTCCCA